AAAATAAAAGACATAGGACATGGCCCCACTCCTCAAAGAATTTATAACCTTAGAAGCATATGCATTTTATGCTTGGAGAACAATACATGTGAATAAGTAACAGAATGCTGAATTAAATACCTATAATAATAAAAGGGCAATATGCTAATTAGACCGGATGTCCTTCCAGACGAAGTCAGGGCTGCAGCCTGTGATCAAGGCAGCTGCCATGGCTACAAGGGAGGGATCCAGGCAGCCGCCAAGGCTGCAAAGGCCTACTCCTGCACGAATTTTGTGCATCGGGCCTCTAGTATTTAATATGAGTGTTAGAGTGTATTATAGACACACGGGAGAGACAGAGGTTAGTGTTTGCTTCAGAGATGGTCCCTGAGGGATTGAAAGGGGCAGGGAGAACAGGTTAGGGTTTTCCAATTGGGAGGGACGGAAGGAAAGGCGGCATGGACAGTGCTAATGAGCACGGTCAGGACGCCGGCCTCACTTGGGAAGAAGTGAGTGTTGGAGAGCAGTCATTTTTTAGAAATGTAATTAGATTGAAATACAGAAGATCAGGTTACCTTATTTTTGTAAGCTCTCCTGGCTATTTCTCAGGATGTTGGGTGGAAACCAATTTTTCACATCTTTCTACTGTATTTCAGTTTCATGTTCTCGTTGCTACCACCTTCCCCTTTTTCCAAATTTAGCTTAATACTGAAATCTCCCTGCTTCCACATGAGTTTCACCACACTGAGCTTTTTACTAGGTGTCATCTCAAAATTATAAAGAAATAAGCAACTTAGGTGGGTTTACTAAACAAATTATAGATAGGCTACAAAATCTCATTTCCCGATATCATAATGGGATACACATCTTTCTGAGGTGGATTAAGTGCAAATTCTAGGCCTTGGTTTGTCACCTGTGATTGTTTCCTGGAATAGGACATAGAATGGCAAGAAAGATGGCTTGGTTTGACAGGTTCTGAATTCTGACATGTTTTCTTTTAGGTACAAACCCGACTTCAGACCTCCCTTGCCAACTTACATCAGAAAAGCAGTGAAATTGAAATTTTGGCTGTAAGTTACTTTCTTTAACCTTTTGAGGATGGCGTCTGTCCATACTGTCGAAGTAGTTTCCTCAGAGGCCAGGGCTTTTTTGCTCAGTGTCAGCAGTATTGGGGTACAAGCCTGTTATCACTGATGTGAATCTCGTGTAATCTAAAGAACTGGGGAGAACAATTGAAGGTTTTGTGTTTGTTTCTCCTACTTCCTTCCTCTGAAGTCAAAATGAAAATCATTTTTCTAAATGTTTCAGGCCTTTGCCTCACTAAGCCTACACTGAATGAGGGTAGCAGTGTCAAACCTCTGGAGTGAGTGCAGTATGTGGGAACTAGGAGGATCAGTTCACCAGGGCTGAGATCTTACCGTGCGTGGTTCATTAAGTCTGCTCTATAGCACAATAGCATCCCGGACTCTGCCAGCCACTTTCATGTTGCTCCATCCACAGTGGCACCATCATCACACGTCAGTATGTGCTGCCAGGGGTTCTCTGACAGATGATGTACATTTTTGTGTATTGACAGGTGGATCTACCCAAAGAAACAATCTTACAGTGTTTATCATTAGAGGTAAGCAAAACGAACTCTTCTGCATTGTGGTTTTTAAAATCCCAAAGCTTTGCCAAAAACAAAACAAAACCACTGAAAATGGTATTTTCTTAGTGATGTTAGGTATTTTTTGTCAGTTCCAGGAATTTGGAAACTTGTTCCTTTATGTGACATATATATTACTAAATCAGATTTTAAAAGAATCATACTTTTCTGGTAACTTTCTTTTAAATTTCAGAGATTATTTAACAAATAACTAGTGTTTTTATTGAGTGTCAGGCTCTGGCAGGCCTTGTCCTAAGCATTTTACAAATCTTAAACTCCTTTAATCATAACAAACCCAAGAGAGAGGTACTATTGTTATCACCATTTTATAGGGAACAGAAGTAGAGAGGTTAAATATCTTACTCAAGGTCACCCAACTAGTAAGTAATAGAGCCAGTATTTGAACCTAGGTAAAGTAGTGGAGTCAATGTTCTTAACCACTACTAGTATACATGTCATACCTTCATTCCAACTAGGGAAGCTCATTTATAGAACTAGAAGTGTATGGAAGATCTTTTTGTAAAAATTTAATTTAGGTACTTTTTTATGTCCCACGCCCCCCCCCCCCAAGTACATACCCTAATTATCAAATAACCAAATAACTTGTTAAATTTTGAATAGTTAAACCTTTGCTATTAAGAATGCTTAACTATAATCATAGCTATAGGTGATTTTTGCAACATCATATCAAAGAATACTTTGTCTAGCCCTAACCGGTTTGGCTCAGTAGATAGAGCGTCGGCCTGTGGACTCAAGGGTCCCAGGTTCGATTCCAGCCAAGGGCATGTACCTTGGTTGCGGGCACATACCCAGTAGGGAGTGTGCAGGAGGCAACTGATCGATGTTTCTAACTCTCTATCCCTCTTCCTTCCTCTCTGTAAAAAATCAATAAAATATATTTAAAAAAAAATACTTTGTCTATCCAGATTAAATCAGATGAAAAATGAACTTTGCCCCAAAACTAATGCTTCCTACTGTATTTCCTGTTGTTGTATTATAAGTAAGCATATACCACTACACTGGCAGTGTATTATCTTATGGTCCATTCAGATGGATGCACATCAGAGGTGGTATGTCCAAATTACAAAAAAATAGACAATAGGCAGCAATAACTGGTCCAAAGTCAGATCAGCACACACGGTGCTGCTGTATTGTTAAGCAGATCTGATAAGGTGATCTGCTGTAAAGAAAACTGATGCTTCAAGGAGGAACCCCAGCAGTTTGCCCAGCAGTTCTAGTATCGCACTATAATGATTTCTTCAGTATAACTAAAGGGGGGAATGGCATTGGACTTTCATTAGTGACCCAGAAAAATGCCACTTAATAAACCCTAGTACCTGTTGTTAAGTCTCACTTATTTTTTCTAGTGGGATGCTGATGAACAGGCATTTAACACAACTGTGAAGCAGCTGCTGTCACGCCTGCCAAAGCAAAGATACCTGAAAGTAGTCTGTGATGAAATTTATAACATCAAAGTAGGAAAAAAGTAAGTTATCACTTAGGTACCGCAGATTTCAAAATGGGTTAAAACTCGAGGAGGGGGTTTTTAAGTGACATAGTTTATTGTCTAGAGGTTTGATGGCTGATAAGCTGTTATGTTAGAACTGCAACTCAGGACTGAACCACAGTCATGATCTTGTCAACCACAAAACCGAGGTCTCAGAAGTAACTATCCCAATTGTAAATTTTAATCACCCAGGTAACTCCTAGAACGATCTATATATATAAAAGCCTAAACAACCTTTACGACAAAATGACCAGAATGACTGGTTGACGGGTCGCTATGATGCACACTGACCACCAGAGGGCAGATGCTCAACGCAGGAGCTGCTCCCTGGTGGTCAGTGCACTCCCACAGCAGGAACACTGCTCAGCCAGAAACCGGGCTCACGGTTGGCGAGCGCAGCTGCAGCAGTGGTAGCCTCTCCTGCTCCGCAGCAGTGCTACCGAGTGGCAGCAGCAGCAGTGGTGGCAGTAGGCGCGGCAGGGCCGAGATGAGCTGCGCCTGACCCCGGCTGGGGCTTCTCCCCAGCTGCCTGCTGCTTAACACTGCTATACCCCCTGAGGGGTCCCAGATTTCCAGAGGGTGCAGGCCAGGCTGAGGGACCCCACCCATGCACAAATCTGTGCACAGGGCCTCTAGTGTTTAAGTAATAGAAAACAGCTGTGACTACTTAGCTTTATGTCCTCATGTCAGAAGCCAGCTGTTCACATTCTCTTCCGTTTAAAAGGCAATGACAAAGCATATGAAGCGAATGGTGGTATCCTTGTGTAGGATCTTATACTGCAGACCCTTACCAGTCACAGCTTTTATAAAACTTGTGCAATGTTTTAGGGCCTAGCCTTCCATCTTGTTTTTAATTGAACAGAACTCCTACAGTTAGGTGCTCTAAAAATAAATTTTTACTAACCCTGTTCTCTATCCATTATACTGATCCTACTTTTTCCCTTCTTTTGCAGGGTGTCCGTGCTATTCCTGTATAGCTACAGAGATGACTACTACAGAATCTTATTTTAATCCTAGAGAACAGTCATTACATTGTTCAGACAGGAGCTGTAAAATGTTGTACATTCATTGTAATTTTAAATTAACTTTACATTCTAAGAAGCTGTCACGCAAAGTGGAGCTTTATAAGTTTTTCATTTGTAATATATATATATATAAATTTATCTTTTGCAATAAATGCTTTCATATATTTCCTTTTTAATTGCAAATCTATTGACATGAAAGGTTTTGTGGAGCTAGAAGACAGGAAAACAGCCTTATTCTTCCCTTAGCTCTAATGACTTTAACTCATGAAAATGTCCAAACTGAAGGGCATAAAGAAGTCAAATATCATCATTAACTTGTAATCTTTAGTCTTAATTTTGTAATATGCTTATCCTAAGGTGATTAAGCAAACTCTAATTTGACTATGAGAATTCATTCAAATTTGCTAAAGGAACTATGATAAAATTATATAGCCTGGCCGTGGCTGGTGTTGCATGATGGTTAGCATCTGCCTACGCACCAAAGGATCTTGGGTTTCCTACCCAGTCAAGAGCATATGCCCAGGTTGTGAGCTCCATCCCTGGTAGGGGGCATGCAGGAGGCAGCCAAGCCATGTTGCACTCCCTTTGATGGTTCTCTCCCTTTCCCTTCCTCTCTCTGAAAAATCAGTAAACTATTCTTAAAAAAAAAAAAAATTATATAGCCAGTTGGGAAGAATACCCATGAGCTAACACAACTTTTAATAAAATTTTCAGGTTTTAATACCAATAACCTAGAAAATAGGGCTAAAGCCTATTCATAATCACATCATCCCAGAATCAGTACTTACTGCCAGGAATTATTAATATGGGGAGAGAAAAAGAATAAATAAGAGATAGTCAGTGCTGATAAATAGACAGGTTTAATGATGCATTGTTTTTCACACAGATGCCTACAGATTCTATAACTAAAATCCAGGAATACACAAGTAGGCAACATAGACCAATTAGCCAGATCTAAAATAAACTGGCTTCTTATAACTACCCTGTAAACATCACAGCTCTTCTTCCGTCCAAAACGAACATAATCTCACATGAAAACAGTTAATGTAGGGGAACCAGAAACGTAGTTTTGTGGCCAAAAGTAAAAACCGAAGGAAAAATAGCAATTTGGTGGTTAGTTGGTGAAAGCAGGGAATCTGGAGCCCTTCACTGTGCTGCTTTGCTCTTCTTACTCTTGCTCTTTTTGTCCCTCTTCTTCAGCCCATCCATGTTTGCTCTCAGTAGGTTTGAATAAGCCTAAAAGACACGGAGCACGACCTTAGTGGGAAGAGTTACAAATTGGTGGGGCAGCTGCCCTGTTTCCATAATGGCTTTAGTGTGGCCAAGTCAGAAAGTCTACCTGATAAAGCAAATAATACCATGGGACACTTGTACCTGAAGGAAAGTGGTGTAAGAGGAAAACACTCACATTTTAGCAGCTTCTGCAATGCTCATCCACTGTGAGTTGCACTTCTTTTTTTTTTTTTTTAAGCAAAAACAGATAAACATAGGCAACTTCTTGTTCAACTTTACTATAGGCAGAGCATATCTGAAGCCTAAGATGGCAAAATCTAGCTTATAAAAACTTAAAAGGAAGACAGTATCAGTGTTGAAAGTAAAATTCATAGCCTGGCAGCTCTTAATCATAAACTACTGGTAACATATCATAGGAGAGCGGTGAACCTAAATATCAATGCTCACCCAGTGTTCAATGTTATGCTGACTTGCCCTGAGAAAGGGACATAGATAACAGCAGAAACTCACCATCTGAAACTTATTCACTTCTTTGGAGCTCACCTGGAAAAGAGGAGGGGAAAATGGTCACCCCTAGTATCCATACAGTAACCCCCTGCCTCACCCTAGATAAGAACTCAAAAGCCTCATGAAGACAGCATCCTAATCACTAAAATATTCCTTCTCAATCTCAGAGGTCCTGATACACTAAAGGCTATTTTCCTAATTCACGCTCCTCTGCCTGGGAAGCAGCAAAGTTTGGGCTTTTTCCACATGAGACTTGTGCCAAGATGGGAAAGAGGCAGAATTATGTTCCTAAAGAAGCTGTGCTTCTCACCTCTATTGAAATCTCTTACACACATGGCATCGACTTTTCTCCCTGGGTGCTGAGATGTCAAAGGACTAAGTACTACTCTTTTCTGCAGGATACATTTAAACTACTCCCCATCTTATTTTAAACCTATCTTCCTTTAATTCAGGCCTATTTAAGCAAAATGCAAGCTACCACAAGAAATCCTACCTCTAAAAATTCTTTGCGTTTTCTTATTTCGTGATATCCAACTTTATTTTTTAAAACCCCATAGCTTTACTGTAAATGTCCTCGAGATAACTGGTAAAGGGAGGCACCATCTAATTATGATCTTCAAGCTCACGAATATCCTGTACTGATATGACTGGAAAGGGAGGCCAGTCTGGTTCTGCCCCAGCAGAAAAAAGAATACAGGCATATCTCAAACATTGCGAGTTTGGTTCCAGACCACCACAGCAAAGCGATTATCACAACAAAGCAAGTCACAGCCTTTTTGGTGGTGGAGGGCCTTGCCTTAATTTGTAATAAACGCAACAACTGGCAGCATAATAAAGCAATGCACAATAAAAGCGGTATGTCTGTATTCATTAAAAACCCAGGGAGTCTCTTGGTACTTGAGAGAGTATAAATTTAGTCCAGAGCGCTACTGTTCCCTTTCAAGCCATATTCAACCTCCACCTTGAACGGGAACACTAGTGCTCGGGACTAAATTTATACTCTCTCAAGTACCAAGTCTACATATAGCTACATGCTTACTATGTGAACCACAAAGAAAAGGAATAATTAGCTTAAAAGCATCATCTGGTGAGAAGTTGGTCATGGAAAGCCCAGCACAGTAAGCTAAGGGCATAAGTAATCATATATTCACTGCTCCTTACAATGCTACTATGAGTAAGGACCAATATGCTAATTTTATTTCTACAAAACTTTCAGCAGAACAAGTGTTTGACTCCACCTTCATTTTAATTTTGCTCTTGAGTTTTCTATTACAAAGGTAGTAAAAGAAAGCCCTGATCGCACCCTGGCCAGGTGGCTCAGTTGGTTGGAGTGTCATCCTATAGACCAAAAGGTTATGGGTTTGATTCCCAGTCAGGGCACATACCTAGGTTGCAGGTTTGATCCCCAGTCGGGACACAAATGGGAAGTAACTGATCGATGTTTCTCCCTCTCTCAAATCAATAAAAACATATCATCAGGTGAGGATTTTTAAAAAGAGGGGGAAAAATGCAGATCCCAAAACAGCTGGGGAGCTACACAATAACTACCCTTCATTTAAAACAAAAACAAGCCCTGGACGGTGTAGCTCGGTTGGGCAATGTCTAGTGCGCAGGCTCATCCCGAGTAGGGGTTGTGCTGGAGGCAGCCTTTCAATGTTGCGTTCTCCCTCCAATGTTTCTCTCTTCTCCCTTCCTCTGTAAAAATCAATAAACTATTCTTTAAAAAATAAAATAGCCCTAGCCGGTTTGGCTCAGTGGATACATCGTCAGCCTGCGGACAGAAGGGTCCTGGGTTCGATTCCGGTCAAGGGCACATGCCCGGGGTTGCGGTCCCGATCCCCAGAAGGGGGCGTACAGGAGGCAGACGATCAATGAGTCTCTCTCATCACTGATGTTTCTCTCTCTCTCTCTCCCTCTCCTTTCCTCTCTGAAATCAATGAAAAATAAATGTTTCCTTTAAAAATTAAACAAAAACAAAACCTGGTTCAGATATGCCACCTGCACAGTTAAGTCTTTAAACTCCAAAACTGCAGTGTTAGGAACCCAACTCACCACTGTGCTAATCTTCTTTTTCCCATCAGTTGCTCTTAACAGACACTTGTTGTCTGAGGGCTCGAAGCCCTCCACTGAGCCTTTCCTCGGAATGGGTTTAGTTCGGCCATCGTCTGCAAGGAAAACGCACCCTGGTGACCACAGCCACAGGCGTTGTTAAGAGGCCGGCAAAGAGCTAACAGGCGGGGGAGGAATAGAGGACCCCTCCTCCACCCGCACTGCTCTAGCTCTGCTGACCACCGGATCCGCCACCAGCTCAGGTTTGGCCCAAACCTGGAAAGCGACTTGCTATCTCCACTCTCCGCGGTGGGGTTTGGGACACCGACAAGGAGGAGAGCCGTGGCGGCGGGCCCCACTGTAACCGGGACCGGCTTACGCTGCTAAGCGCTGATAGGCGTCGGTCCCTCTGCCCTGAAGGTGCCCAGTGCGCGGAGGAGGGGAGGAAGGGAAGGCGGGAATGCGTCGGGGGCTGACTCGGGTTCCCCGACACCGG